CGTAATACCAACTGCTTGTTCCAGAAATGTCCGTTTTCGTTATGGCCCGTCGTCAGTTGCTGATAATCGGAATAGGTTTATGTCAAATCAAATGGTTGAATAGTAGGGCACTTCTGAGGCAAAAAATGCAAAACTGTTGGCGAAATGCAACTGGCCAATGTGAAAGAGTGTTTGGCAGGCAAGAAGCGCAAAAAACCGAAATGATATAATGTCATTACTCGTCAAGTCGCCCAAATCGAAAATGTTGGCAGGGAATTTAATTTTACATGGATAACTTAATCACCCATTTGGCTCAATTTAAAGTACAGCTTTGCTTTAAAGCAAAAAGGTGTGCAATAAATTATAATGCAATGGCATTGCATAATTATGTTGTGCAATAATTTTCCAACTATTTCCGTTTTGACTTTAGGCCATGTGAAAATTTGGTTTTCCCGGAACAGACAAATAATAGAATTTAATAAGATGTGACCCCAAGTTTGAGCTGGGCAAATCCATGTGTGCCTTTAATCGATTGAACTCACAACTTTTCTTTGATGTCGAATTCTATTTGTGCACGAGCCGTGACCCCAACGAAAATCCCACTCAAGGGCAAAATTCATTAATAATTCTAGCAGAGCGTTAAAGACACAAAGTCAGTCATAAATGGAAGACAAATAAATGGCAAAGAAAAAAAACTTGGGATGAAATGCGAAAGGACATTCCTTGGACTTGTGGCTTTTGTTTCGCCAACTTTCCGAATTGTTTTGCGGCATTCTTTCTGGCAATATGCAGCAATTATTAAGATTAATACCTCTAATATGATGGAGCCTTCGCCACAAGAGCGTGGCCGAGATGTGTGAGGTCAAGCTGATGTGTTTTTAATGAGTTGAAGGATCTGCAGCGCGCTACGGAGTCAGTAACAGCAATTAAGGCGCATTAATTAATATTAAATATTTCAATGGCAATTAAATGGAACAATCCTAGATGCCCATGGACAGCAGCCGCAAAAGCCGCAGAAGTAGATGATGCAAAACTTTTGCCGGCCTGCCAGGCGAGCAAAATGAAAATTTCATTAGCCGCAAAGGCCAAATGAATTTCGCACCGCCATTCAAATGCGCCTTTTCGAGTGAAAAGTTTTCAACTTAGCCCCAAACAGGACACATGTTACAAAATTAGCAAATAAATTTCAAGTACTGCCAAACTTGCTGCTGCGCGCATTCGAAATGCAAATGAAATGCACGCGATTGTTGATCGGGCGGGGAGCTGGAAAAAAAGGGGGAATTTATTTAACTCTGCCAAAAGGAAACGGAACGAACTGAACTGCACTGAACTGAACTCAGCTGGAGTGAAAGCCCGGCTGCATTTTCTTATGACCGAGGGCAGGAAAATATTTTCCAAGGCATTTCAATTTGGCCCCGCAATACGCGTAATTGAAATTTGCATTTGTGTGGAACGTAGGCGAAAACAGAACCGAAAAGGAAAATCAAATGAAATAGGAGGTGCTGTTGCTGGCCAAAGACGGGCAAAAGGACCAGGCCAAGAAACTTCGTCCTGCGTCCTGAAGAAAGACCAATTAAGAGCCGCGGCGTGGAATTTTGATTGCGGCTTGCAAATTTCCAGCGGGCCAAGTCAGGAATTCAGCCAACGGGCCTCACACGCGGCCTGGTTTTGGCCACAAGCAGAAGGTAATGAAAAATTTCATTTTTCCAACTCTCCCCCCCCCTTTCCACGGTCACTCTGCAGCACATTTGAACTGTTGATATTTATTCAAAAGGAGGACGAGACACTCAGCGCTGGCAGTTGACATTCAAGTCAATCGAAACTTTGCACAAAACGCGAGGCTGTGTCCTCGGTCACCTGAGTCAACAACAACTCGGACTGACCCTCTCTGTATGGCGAAAAGCAAAAAAACAGGCTATGAAATGCCGCCAGTTACTTTTGCCAAGGAATTGCAAAAAAAGTTGCTCGAACCAGTAAATAAATGGGCGGCAACCTACCACTGAGCAAAAAGTAACGCCAAGATTTTTAAACTGTATTACAAAAGTTTTTCATAAAATGCAAGCCTCGGCAAATGTAAAAGTAGAAAGCTGTAATTTACCCCAACTTTATAAAAATAAAGAACTGTTTACTGGGCCGAACTGCCTATCGGCTTATCATTAATTAATTAAACACTTTAGTTGCCCTAAAAACCATGTTTCATACATTCATATGCAAATTTGAACTTCTACATAAGAATGCAATAACGAAAAGGGTAAAAAGTTCGCATTTCAAATTGTAAATTCAAATTCGAAGAATTTAATCACGCATACGATTTTTTTCTGTGCCACAATAAAGGAAACAAAACGGCCTCAAAAACTTTGGAGCCCAGGACCGCAAATTGTTTAAAACAAGCATTGCACAAAAAACTCAAGAAGCAACACAAACAGGCGGCTCAATTCCAGGAATAAAGCCAGAGGACATTGAATAAACCGTGCGGAGGGGCAGTGGGGGCAGGGAAATGGGGACATCAGTTGGCATTACAGCCAAGGCCAAGTTTCGGGCCAAATCTTTGTGGCTAGTGGACCAACAATAACCGGCAACCGACAACCGACGAGCATCGGCATCGACGGCCGAAAGGCAATGGAACCGTAAATTCTATTGCATGACTTGATTAAATTCGCATGCAACGATGACCGTCGACCCCGAGCCACCCACAGTGGAGCTCCTCCTCCAGGAGCCCCCATTAAAACCCACCTCCAAGCGGGCCAAGCAAAGGCCAGCGCCACTGCCAACTATGCCATAGCTGGCATTTTCTTGGCTGTTTGCTGGCTGCCTTGGCTCCTGGCTTCTGTTTTTGCTGGCTGTTGGACTTTAGCCTTTCCTTCGACCGTTTCCTCATTTTAACGTTTTAACGTGACTTAATGAAGTTTCAGTGTCACAGCAAAATCTGCTCCTGCTGCTGCTCCTTCTGCTCCTCCTGCTCCTCCTGTTAATTTTATGATGGATTTTATGCAGTGCGCGGCAAAGGAAACTTTGAACTTTAATAAGTATGTGTATGCAGGCATTTAACTTTGCCAGCGTTTTGTAGATTTTTTCTACTCACTTTATTTAATTTTTTTCATTTTTTTGGCCATGTTAAGCTGGGTGGCTAGCTGGCTGGCTTCTTTTCTATGGGAACTTTGCTGAAATATGCTTCACAGGGCTTGAAAGCATTTGAAGTAATGAAAAAGAAGCGCAAAAAATTGCATCCAACAAGTAACACACACACACACACACTCGTTCCGGGAGAAATGGGTGGGGGCTTACTGTACAGTGAAGCTGCGCAAAATTTAACGAAGCTTAACCTCATTCAATGTGAAAATACACTTTACTTGTACTTTGCGCTGTCATTTCGGTAGCAACTCGAGCAGCAATTGTGCAAATACTTTGTGCCGAAAGTGCGGTGACGGTGGGCGTTGGTGTTGCTGCCGGTGTAAGGGGCGTGGCAAAGGTGGCTATATATATATAAATGTATATATAGAGGAAGGTGGCGGGTGCCAACCTGGTGAACTTTGCAAACTTAAATGCGGAGCAGAATGATGAATGATCCAAGGATGCGAGGCTAGCAACCCAAGGAACTCACTTTATCTCCGTTTCTGCCGACTTTCTCTTGATTTCCCGCCAGAGGCAACTTCTCGCACAGAGAAAATCACAAATATAAGATTAAAATCTGAATATAAATGCAATACTTCAATATTTCCTTCCAACTTCAATAGCAGCAGAAACAAAAATGGTAGCTACAATAAATATAGAACGATTGCTTAGTGACCTTATTAATTATTATTAATGAAATAATTACGTGTTTATTCTTTATTTAATTTAACAATCTGAAAGTCTGTTGAATTAGAGTTAAATAAATATGAGTTCCACAGGCAGCAACTATTTGGCTGAGTGCACTATAAAATCGCTGAGAATCCTATTCCCACAAAGGTTCTTTAAAATTGAATCACTTTGGCCCCAAAGTGCATTGTCAGCTTTGAGTGAGCGAGGGCGTGGCAGGTAAATTATGCAAGAACACCGATACCAAATGTCGTCGCCTGCATCCAGCTGAAAATTGAAAGTGCTGCAATCCGAGATCTTAGCCGCGTTTCAAATGCACTTGGCAAAGAGCGGACCGCAGGCGAGCGTCACCATTTGTGCAATCAAACATCGAAATGGCCGCGACATTGACCGCAAGCTTCCACAGTGTGAAATCCGATGCGGCTGGGAGCCAGCCTGCACAGTGGTTCCAGAGCTGCTGAAAATGGCCAACCAATTGAGGCGATTTTCGGAGCCCCATTCAAATGTGATTATGCAAGCTTGAAAATAAGAAATATGTATGCAATCAGAACTTACTAATATTAACCTACTTATATTTATTTAGCTTACAACTTTAGTTTCTAATCAAGTGCTACTTACACCATTTTTATTATTTATATAAAAATATAAATAAAATATAATATATAAAAATTTAAATATATTGGATCGATTCATTCATCGAATCGAAAGAAGAAGAATTTTTGCGAACTTTACCAGAAAGATGGCCATAAGTTGTAGATAACGATGGACAATACTTTGAATAATGCTACTGTAATGATACCCTCATAGTAAATCACGACACTTTGAAGAAAAACACTACGAATTAATTCCAGCACCTTATAAATATAAATTTATATTAAATTTTTCAGCCCTCTGAACCACAGTGCAATAGGTCGATGCTCAATGCGGCCCAGCAATTGCGGTATAGCTGCGTATTTGGTGATTGCGGATTGTGCGGACAGCGGATCGCCGCCTCACTTGCATCTGAAAGGGACAACCAGAAAGGGCCTATCTGGAAGTTGGACTTGATGCCGCCGAGTGAAAGTTAGTGCCTGGGCTGCCACTTACACAATCCACGGTGGATTGGCCAATGAACTTGAAGTGCGGACGCGGCTATCCAATTACAAGTAGAGCAAGCAATGGAAGAGTGTGTGCGCTATAAAAACGCCATCGCGATGTCACAAATTTGCATTTCAAAGCGGAGCAACACCCACGCCAGCTGCATCCAAACACGCACTCCGCTGGCGGATTTGGACAAAGGACAAAGGACACACACACGCACAACCACCCATCGTTATGGGGCGGCCAAAATCGGGCCAGGGCTTTGGGCCACCTGCCACCAGTTCATTAATGATCTATGCATTAATGTGGCTCGCGTTGGCCATGACAATGGAGGCCATAGATGCCCCACTGCCTCTGTCCCTGGCCGAGTACCCGCTCGGCCTGCCGCTGGAACATGGCAGCAAACACCATTACCAGGATGCGGGCGTGGGATCGTTGCCGGGATTAACAGGATATACGCGAAATTATTATGGCCCCACTGACACTGCAGCCGGCGATGACTTGGCAACATATGGAAATTATGCTCACAATCTCCTCGCCACCCAACAGCACCATCCGCACTCATCCCTTGGCACCACGGCCAATGGCTTTGTGCCCTTCTACTACAACAGCCAGCTACACCAGCAATTCACCGCGGGTGAGGAGCCGCCTCGCGACCCATCGGCCAATATCGATTTTGTCATTAATACGGCAAATTATGAGCCAAATTCCGCTGGCTACGCGGTGGAGCCCCATCCCGGGCAGCACCACTACGAGAGCTATGCATATCGGCCACGGGTGCAGTTTGCCACGTCGCCACCCGCTCCCGGCCATTACCATTTCGAACAAATTTCCAATTACCGGGAGAATCGGGAACATCGGGAGAGCGGCCAGCGGGAGCAGGAGGCGGCGCAGCACCAGCAGCAGCAGGAGCAGCAGGATAATTCCAGTGTCGATGCGCGGCTCAAAGAGCTGCAAGCACTGGCCAACTCAGTGAAGCGTCAGCAGGAGGAGTCCTTATCGAGTCTCCAACCCAATCGGGAGCGAAACCAGCCACTGGAGCAGCGACCACTGCAGCAACTCGAAGCCAGACAGCTGCAACATGTGCAACATGTGCCACATCAGCAGCCACACTTGCAGCAGCATCTGCAGCAGAAGCAGCTACATCCAGTGCAATATCCTCAGGATCAACGGCAGCAACAGCGCCTGGGAATCGCCCAGGATCAACAGCTTCTGTACTCCCACAAGCATAGCCACATGGCGGATCTGCCAGCCATAACCACCAGTGTGCGCCACACGCCGGAGAGCAGCAAGGCGGTGGCCGGAGTGCCGCTGTCCAAGCACATCGAGATCACCAAGAGTGTGCCCATCACGCACTACCAGAGGCAGCATGTGCCCTTCAAGCAGAACGTCCAGGTGCAAGTGCCACGCACCGTGATCGCAGCCATACCCAAGCCCATTCCCATCAAAATACCAGTGGCCCAAGCGGTGGCCGTGCCCCAGATGCAGGAGGTGAAGATACCCATCGAGCGGGTGAGGCCGGTGCCCGTGGAGCGACCCATTCCCTTCGTGGTGGAGCGCAGGGTGCCCTATCGAGTGGAGAAGCCCGTGGTCTCGCCGGTTTATTACCCGTATCCGGTCAAAGTGCCCGTGGTGCGCACGGTGGTGCACAAGCAGCGACCCCACCATGTGGCACCCGGCTGGAGTGCCACCGGCAATCATCTGCTAGGTTGAGTCTCTGCAACTACCATGTATGCATCTAAGTTAGGTTCTTGAGTATATATTCCTAATCCAGTTTTACACCCTTTCAAGCGGGGTTTTCAGATTTGTAAAATCAATGTACAAACTTTTGGGTAGTCAGTAAATATTATGTGTTTTTGGTGAAATGTTCTAAGGTGGAATTAAAGAAATACACGAACTTTACATAAACTAGAGTATTTTTAGCTGCCCAGCCCCGGAAAGTAATTGCAATTAGGCAGCCGACAGCGACTGCAGTAGCTTCCAGCATGCAACTCCTTGATCTGAGATGCAAGTTCCTAGTTCCCAGTTCCCAGTTGCCAGTTAGCAGCTACAAAACAAAACAAGGGATTCCGAGTCGAAGTTGAAGCTGGAGTCACAGGGCAGGTCCCAAACCGAAATGAAGAAAAGTAGCCGAGTAAAACTTTTTAATTGAGCTAAAATCCAACAAATGCGGCTAATAAATATGTATTGAAGTGCGGATGGGCAATGCAAAGGGGGGCTGCAGCGAAAGTGCAGGAAAATGCAGCGGCTAATTGCCAAATGTAACTCCAGTTGCAACAACTTTCAACTGAAGCAGCAGAAGGAGCAACAATGACGCACAAATAAACGCGACGTTCAACTTCGCCGAAGCGTTAACGAAACAGCAACAAAATTAGCCAAAAAGTAAAGTTGCAGCAAGGGTCGCGAAAGTCGGGCCAGTAGTTTCTGGTTCGGGAAAGTGCTGCAAGTTATTGCCGGCTAATGAAATTAGCCCTAATTGACGTGGGAGCCATTCTACTCCATTTTTGGCGGCGAAGTGTGAAAGAACTCCTCGTCACACACAATTTAATATTCGGCAGCACAGGAGAATTTAAGCAAATTGTGTAGTTAAAAATGAGTTCATAGACTCAGGGGTTAAATTATTGATTTATTTGTTGATTTATGGTTTACACCTGAAGAAAAAGGGGCACCAATTACTCAGCTAACGAGAGATGCAGCTATAACGCCACCTAGCGGCGGCCAAGCGAATCTACAGATGGCCAGATCGAACGGCTGGTAAAATTCTTTAAAAGTGCCATGATTTTTCGAATGAAATGGAAACATTTCATAATAATTTAATTAGTTTTCTAGCTGTGTAATAAATTTCGTAAATTTAATTCGCTGCAGGCCACATTATTAGCATTTATATGCCACATACGTATGCAGAAGAAAACCGCAAAGCGACGGAAACCAACTAAAAATCAAATATAATAAGCATGCGTGCAAATCAACGCTTGTCCGTGAATCCGCACCAATATATACTACATGCACATGCATATGCAAATAGTAAATGGCGCTTGCAGCCGAATAAATGTGCATAAATTCATAATTGCACTGCCCACATTAACCGCTTCGTTAGGAATTTTGCTCATCTGACCACTGGTCACCACAGCCGGCGGCCGTTGTTCCCTGTTTTCTGGCCACCAGAGCCAAATCCAAAATCCAACGTCTAACATACGACATTCGGCAGTCCCACTTCGCAGGCCAATGACAAAAGCCACAAAACGCAATGAACATGGCGCTCCGGTCAGATTGTTGACCGCGAATCTGCTGATGAGTATCTCGTTTGTGCCATGTGCCCTTTGACCCCGTAACCCTTTAACCCTTTAACCCTGCCGCTGACACACACACGCCAGTTCAGCGAATCGAATGCGATTGGGTGACAAACCAAGTACATAGTGATTGAATTTTATAATTATTTCATTTTAGAATCACATTTCAACGCTACTAATATAAGAAAATCGTTTAAGAAAGGAAATTAAAGTGGATTTTTTTCTTGGAATTATGTTTCTATCTTAACTGCCCCCATTGCGCACTTTGAATTGAATGTGTGGCGCAAATATAATCGAGATGACAGAACCAAAAACCGAAAGCTCTTAAATCAGCGCCACACTTGTATCCCTCGGAATTCCTCGAAAAAGGGCAGCAAAATGACTTTATAATTTCGGAAATGACTCTGCACTTTCGAGCAGGTAAACTGGCAAAAGGAGGGGTTAAGAGCAGCAGGGCGACAAAGATAAACATTAAAAATTAATCAGCACTTTTGGCTCAAACTTTGATAATTGCCGGGCGGCCAAAATGAAGCCAAGAGCGTAAACAGCTACAAAAACGCTCCACACAGCATTAAATGGTCAGAAAAGCGTGGGCGCCAGACGGGGAGTCCTTTGAAAAATGACAGGAAACCAGCCATCAGTTAGCGCGGGAAAAGCAAAGTTTTAACCCTTTTGTGCGGGGAACCCCATTCACCAAATTCACCCCATTTCGGCCAAAAGTTGTGCACATTTTTGTTTGTGAAATTGATGTGCATCATAAAAATTTGCGACTCAGGTGGCAAGTTGTTACCTTTGATGCGCCACGGAGCGGACTTGAGGCGCCCTTCTTGATCATTTTAATTGAGGCAACGGAAGGCGTTGTGTAGATACCAACGAGTTGAAAGTGAAAAGTGCGGACAACGGGGCGTATGAGTGATATTTCATGTTCGCCACTTAATGGACGCTTGGCACCTTAAACACCGCCATCCGTTTGGCTCGTAAAGCCGAAATGCCTGGCATATCTTTTATGATTACCATAAACTATTTACACAGAACTTTAATAATCTGGTGCGTGCAGCAGCAAAATGTTTGCAAGTATTTTATGCGCCAAAGGATTTATGTCGACTCACAACATCCCGCAGGATCGTCTGGTGTTTTGCGAACTATACGAGTATACTCGATGTGTATGTGGCCTTGTTTGTTTTGCTTTTGTCGGCTTTTGCCAGTGTGTCTGGTGCTGTTGACGCTTTTGACTCACTCAACACCCCGCACCTTCAGCACCTCCCCCCAAAACCCGCCCAAAAAAGCAAAAGTTTGCCAACACAAACAGCTACTCAGGCGTATAATTGCCATTAAAGTGCGCTTAAAATGAGCTGAGAGACCCTCGAAACGAGCTGGTTTTATCGGGCTCAATACGTGGCAATGGAGTGCTGTGTTGGCCCGGCCTTTATGCATAAGTACGAGTATCAATATTTCACAACTTGGCCCTTCGGGGGTCCCGGCAATTAAGCGCTGCAACTTTCGGTCGTTGGGCATTTTTCATGCCACATTATTCCTGTAGCATCTACGATGTATAGTATATGTGTGTGGCCTGCTGGAGCTCATCTGGCTCGCAAATTAACCAAAAAAGGGGTCTTTCACATTCAGTGTCCGAGCTCCTGAGCTCGGATATGTCCCTAATTGAAGCCCACTGACGTGTACTCGAATATCAGATTGCAATCTATTTTGCTTCAGCTGAATGGCTTCTAAGTTGCCATTCGAGCGGGCACAATTTATGCCTGGCTATGGCTTGCAGTTGGGCATGGAGATGGGGCTGGACTCGCTTTTGATTGACAGCTTATGCTGGAAAATGCAGAGATATGATTACCTTAGCTTGCCTGGAGAATTGTCATCTTGGTGTCAGGATAGACAATGCTGCAAAAGCAAAGCCAAAGCAGCAGCAGAAGGGGGAGATGTAGCATCAACTCTGCAGCTGCAGCTGCAGCTGTGGCTGACAGCCGTCAGTTGAGAAATGAAACTAAATGGCAGAAAAGCAAACATTTCCCAGCACCGGATCATATTTCAAATTCAAACTGTGACCGGGCGTTCTAAGCACATAATGAGCAAAAATGTTTAAAATCAACAGCAAAAACCTTCTACTGAAAATGCATAGCCGTTGACATGCTGACAGCACATTATTTACCTCGCCAACAACCAGAAACAGACGACCAGTGAAATTATGAGCTCCGGCAATATTGCAGCGCAATGAGCTGAACTTCGGGCGCAATATGTACACGTATAGAAATTCTGCTCATGTATCCGTTTTTAATAAATTAGTTTGCAATTTGCCACGCCTGACTGGCTGCGAAGCAGCCAAGTGGCGCAAAAGGTGCAACTTGCTGTTGCAGCCAAAGTGGCAACAACGATGCGCAACCAGCGGCAAAGCACCAAAGAACCTTCTTGGAAACAACACTCACCTTTGAGCCTGTTTTCGAGTGCCATAAAAGCCAACTGCACGGTGAAAACATAATGTCGGTATGTAGCATATAGCTGCGATGCACTTCCGTTGCGCAACGCCCTCTACAGTCGTCCAGGCGCACTAAATGTCTGTCTGCAGAAGCGAATTTGCTTGCTCCTTCGAAGGACCTGCGATTTCTGTTTGTATCTCTGTTATGCAATTGTAAAGTGCGCATGTTACTTAATCCAGGACCAAATCGGACAGTTCTTCAAGTAACAAGAGTTTCAAAACGTTCTAAACCATAAATTCATACTTTTTGCAACGACAATTTGTATAGCTTCAAATCATACAAATTGTTCTTGCCCTTGAATAATTTAAGGTTAGTTTGACCCTTCCTCGAATACGACGACCTTCAAGCCCACGCAAGCCATCTGTTTGGCAGGGAATATTTGAATGAGAACTCCGCGGCTTTAAGAGCGATGGCCGTAAGCCACTGCTGGCTAATGCCGTCATTCAATGTCAGGCAATTTCCGGCGCGCCAAGCAGAGCATCAGGCCAAATTCGAAAATTCCGCGAAGGGCAATGGCAAATTGGTAATTGGTATAGCGTTAGCGCGTTTCGCGGACAGGATGGGACAATCCGCAATGCCAATTCCAGCCAACCTGATCCCGAAAAGATGGCCCAAGGGGCGGGGGCTGCTCCTGGCCCAGACGATGTGTAAATCATTTTAGCAAAACGTAGACATAATCTCAGAGCACGGGTATTGCGACTGTGCACGTGCCAGAGGCTTTTATTGTTGTCTGCCCGCCGCTCGTCTGATTCGCTCGAAACGGCAAAGGACCCTAAAAAATTCATAACATGTAGCGCCGCATATCCCCAAAATCCACACCCGAAGACGACGACAATGTGAGCGCCCATCATCAGCCATCAGCGACCAGGATGCGGAGTTTGTGGATGTGAATGTGGATGCGGAGGCCACTGAGCCAGCAACCATCTCGCTGAGTGGCGGTCTTACGTGGCAATGACATGGGGGGATAAAAGTATCATTGCTTTTAGAGAGAGTCCTCATCGCGGGCCTCCTTAGTCCTCCTTAGTCCTCCTAATATTGCCAGGACGAAGCCAAGGCTCGGCCGTCCGTCCAGCCATTGTGGCCACAATAAAAATTCGCATTCCCATTATATAGCCATCACCGTTCTTACTGCCATTCGCACACCCCAAAGCGGCATACGTACATATATATATTCCCACCTAAATGGGAAAAGTGGGCGCGTTACGGATGTGGGCGTACACAGAGAAAAATGCTGAGAGAGTGGCAGTTCTTTGGAATATTTAAAATGGGTCTACATGACAGCATTTCTAAATTAAATGCAACTGATAACACATTTATCTAATCAGCATAACTTAAGCCCTTCAAAAACATATGACACGCGGTTATTTAATTGCTAAATTAATACGCCTAGCGGGTTGTTTAATAGCAAATAATACTATTTCGAAATAGTTCAGTTCAAGTGCACCAAAAGCTGGCGGCAATCAATAGAAACTCCGCAAGTGAAATGAATGTCGTTTAATGGGCTGTGGGTGGGGTGAAAAATTAGACAAAGGAGTTGTGCATCATAAACACTTTAAAAATCATTTTTGGCCAAAAGTTTGGCAAAAATATTTATATAAATAGCTAAACCGAGGCGAACGAAACTTTTTTGTGAGTTATATATTGCGTCTACAATTTGGAGAGCAAGCTCAAAACTTTCATTATGCAAAAGTTTTTTAATAAAAGTGCAAACATAGTGGCAGCTGACTCCAAAAAATACCGCTCTTACCCTCTCTCTCTTTCCCCCTCATTTTGGCCACATGGCTAACACACACACACACACACTCACACACATGGACATGCACATGCACATGCACTTGGCCGTTATTAAAACCAACAGTTTTGTTTACTGCCACACGGAAGTGAGCGTGTGGTTGTGAGCCATCTATTCCCAATTGCATATAATAAAGTTTTTTGCACCGTTTTTCGGCCTTTTTACCTGGCCAACAAAGATATCGCACAAATTCAAATTCGCACTTGTGGTGCCAATGGTATTTAATTAAACATTTGAACTCAGCAAGTTGCCTAAACGAGTTTATATTGTTGCTAGGACAAATAATTAGTGTGATTCACTCGTTATCTGCCGACGAGTGATTTTATGTCATCTGCATCAAATGTGTATTCACATTTTCACACATGTGCTTCTAATGCTCCCATTTGCGAATTTCATTCTCATGCTGGCTATAATTTAAATTAATTAGTTTTATGCGCACCACAAGGCAAACTCTCCACAAACTAATAAATACATTGCCAGGCATTCAAGGAGAGGCCAAACTGAATAGTTAATTAAATATCGCACACACTTTTATGTGCAGCTAAAAACAATATTGCGGTATCGCAAAAATGTGACTAATAAAGCGGCGTAATAAAAATCATAATAACATTTTAAATGTTTAATTTAACATAAAAAGTGAGTGAAAAGCAAAAAAGCCCCGTAGCACATAACACTGCCACCGATGGAGGAACGCGAGTCCAACTTACACAGCCAACCGAGTTGGCAGCGATATTACGTATACGCACGCATGCACATGGCGACATGGCAAATATTTTGTATGCAAAATAAAGTACTCGAAAAGTCACTTAAAGTGTGTCGCTGGGCGGGCGGCTTCCTGCTCCGGGCTAACCGGCTGACTGGAGGGGCATAAAGAGCGTAAAAAATGTTAAATGATAAATAAAATTTACAACCGCAACAACAGAGCAGCAGCAAACCAACAGCGAGCATATGTGGCAAGCGAAGAAGTTTCGCCCTTCTCGTCGAACGAGCGACATAATAAAATGCAATTTAGACATCAAAAATACACAGTAAATGGAGCAGGAGTAGCAAGTCGCAGCTGACAGGACGAAAAGGACGACAGGCGGGCGGCTCCTCCTCCAAAAGGAGGAGGTTCGCGCAAGGAGTCACAGACAGCCGCGTGACTGACAAGCGGGGGGAGACGGGCGAGGAACCACAGCCGCATCCGCGCTCGCATCCGCAGCCACATCCGCGCCAGAACGACAAACAGGCGAGAGCGCGCAACACGCAGGACAGAGGACAATACACTTAGAACTAAGCTCCAAAGTGCTGGAGTGCACAAAATGTTGCTTAAAGTTGATTCTTCTTTATCAAGGGGTTGCTTTCTGTGGTTGCTTTCTGTTTATGTTTGCCAAGCGGACTTGCCTTCATTATTAATTACATTACTGAACGCAATAGTTGCACCTATTTGCTAACAAAGAGAAGGTTGTAAAGTTATATATTAGGAGGGGGGCTTCTACGAGGGAGGTATTATGAAGTTGCCATCTAGATGGAAACAGATTATCGAACAAAACGGCGCATATTTGAACTAAATCCGATCACTGTAACACTTTTTATAAGGCATTGAATAAAGAGCAAAAAAGCGGAAGGGAGATATTTTCCAACCTATTATTTATTTTATTTATTTATTCAACAAAGTAATGTGCTGTAGAGGCTAAGTATGTCCGATTAGTCTGACTTCGTTTAAGCAAACACTAATGCCTATTGAAGTGCTAGGAATTTTCTCGCAGTGCCCATCGACGTTTGAGGAGGCTGTGCGTGCGAGCCAAAAGGATTGCCGGAGCAGACAATTTACTGCGAACGATATGTTATGCTTTCTTTCCACCACAGCTCCTTCGTCCAGTGCATACTATATTTGAAAGCAGTGCGCTGGGGCACACTTCTCAGTGAGTGGAATGGAGCTGGGAGCTGGAAACTGGGAAAAATAGGGGACTGCGTCCCTTGGCCAATTCAGGCGGGCAGCAAATCAAAGCTGAGACCAGCACAGGTGACATGGGAAGCGGGCCAGCTCGAGCGGCGTGCCAGCGCGTAGCGGGACAACAAAGGTGTGCACTTAATTTAATTAGAGCCGGGAATGGGGGAGGGCCAACTTGAGCACCCACTTTCCAGGCCGAACTGGCGATGTAATGGTCTGGAAATGGCATTTGGCAGCCTGCGAACAACGGCGGAGAATGCGCGAGCCTTTTGTGAAGATGAATTTCATTTCATTAAACACAAATTTCATTGTGTGCGCTTAAAGTGAAATTAAATAAATGAGCATGGGCCCTTTGGGATGGGGTGCCAAGTGGGTTGGGCTGGGTCTAAAGGGGTTATGTCCATGACAAATGCACCGTGAAATCGCTGCTAAAAACCTCCTGCTTGCAATACGTGTGTATGTGCCAAGTCCGCCTTGCCATTTTGCCCGGTTCTCATTCGCATTCGCATTCGGTTTACGTTTACCCGTTTGTGTTTGTATTTTAATGCAAATTGTTGTAATGTTAAATGAGTCACAAAATTGTTGTACATCACGGGGATTAAATGAATTTTAAAACGCGACATTAAAAATGGAATGCGGAATGTGCAAAACTGCATAATGATGTTCGCTTTGGTTTGGTGACCCAAAAGGCGGGGACGACGGTGGCGTATGCGTAATGTGCTTATAACTATAACGAAATTCGCGTGCTCCGGATGCAAATGAGGAACGCTGGAATGCAGGAATGCAGGATGGGATTTATGAAAAGTGCACATCTACCACCAGCTCTTGACCTTGTGCAGCACGGTCTTAAAGACGGGCACCTTCACGGGAAACGGCTTGGGCACCTTGATGGGCACATACTTGACCACGTGGTAGGGCACATGCTTCTCCACCGGCACCGGGATGTGCTTCTCCACGGGCACGGGGATCAAGCGCTCGACGGGAACCTTTAGTTCCTTCTCCACCGGCACCTGCACGTTCTTGGTGACCGGTATGTGGATGGGCACTGGCTTGCGAACGGGTATGATGACCGCATGCGATATGGGTATCTTCACCTCCTTCTCCACCGGCACGTGCTGCTTCTTCACGTGCTTCACCGGCACATAGTTGATGATGTCCACATGATGCGAGTGGTGGGTGTGTCCCTGGCCATGACCACTTGCCTCCGACAAGTAGTTGGAGCTCTGCTCCTGCCCAGCATCGGGATGCTCCTCAAAGTCATCAGCACCAGATCCGCTCGAGGCAGATGCAGCCGATGTCGAACCGGATCCAGAAACGGATGGTTCGTGATGCCCGAAGTACGAAGGGTGCTGTTCCTGCTGCTGATGCTGCTGTTGGTGGTAAAGTTGCTGCTGCAGATGCTGCTGCTGCTGGTGCTGCTGCTGCTGCAACTGCTGGTGGTAGGGCTGCCCCTGCTGGCCATCGTATCCAGAGTCTGGCATGTACGGCGGCAGGAAATTTCCCATTGAAATTTTATCGTACGCATAGGGATGAGTGGCCTGCTGTTCCGGCTGCTGCTCCTCCGGCGCCGATGATGTCCACTGTGCGTAGTCCTGCTCGGGACCAGATCCATAGGCCGGCAAAAATCCACCATTATGCCCGGCACCGGGATAATTGTAAATCGACGAATGTTCCTGATTGTTCTCCAATCCACCGCCAGCTTGTCCATTTCCCGAGCCAAAATCATGGGCACCAGCTGCTGCAACGGCAGCGACCGCGGCGGCATCTTCATTCTGCTCCTCGTAAATCGGTATCTCCTGCTTGCTGGAGCCCAGGGCCAGTGCCTCCGTGTGCGTGGGTGCCACCGAGCCGTACCCATTGGTAACGTGTCCCAGTCCCGAGAGATTTGTTAGCCCGTTGAGCATGCTGGCCAATCCTTGACGGGAGCCTGAGGAATGACTGCTGCTAAAGGCCCTCCGTTCGCCCGCATTTCCCCTTGGAATTTTGGCCGAGCCATACCGATGATTGGGATGATGCTGCTGCTGCATCGCCTGGTCCATTGGCAGCCATCGATTCTCGAACAAGGACCCCATATTGTGATAGGACGGGTGGCTCCTGGTCGTTTCTGTCGAGGATGCGGTGCCGGCGGTGGCGGTGGCGGTGGCTCCACTGACAATTGTCAGTATGGTGGTGGCTGCTGCAATGAGCGGCATCTGCTGCGGAGGATAATACGCAACCATTTAATATGCAAAACACTTCAGTCGCGGAGGATAATCAAACAGAAAAGGAATCGACTAAACGATATCCATACCTAACTTTCAATGGGCCATAGAGCACTTTAGATATTTTAAGATATTTGTTTTAAAATTTGCAGATCTGAGCATCCTTTTTATGATCTCTCAGCTTTAAGGTTTTTTTTGTTAACATCACCAGCCGCAATATGCCCAAAATGGCAAGAGTACCTATTTTGTTTGAAAAAAGTGCTGAATAGCATGGGTTTGTATTCCACAATTTTTGCATAATGCATTTTTAATATCCCGACTCCGCCGCCTGCCGCGCCCTGCAATGCCATCCATTCCACACTCACCAAATTAAGGTTCGCCATGGGGCCTGGTGGGCTTCGAACTCTGGCTGGGATTGGGCTAAGACCTTGACTGCGGCTGCTGGCCGACTGCTGCGATGGTAATGTGGCCAAACTCCAGGCGAGACAGCGTTTTTATATGTGGCTCCCAACGACCAGGACAGATCTGCTCCGAGAGCAAAGCTCTTACACAATCTGCTGCGGCGGCAGCACAATTTTCAGTTTTCAGGCTTCATCTGTGTGGTGATAGAAGGCGGTTGGCCAAAAGTGAGTGTTGGCCATTCGCTGCTGACCTGTTGCCATTTCTCTCGCGCTTTTTGCTGCAGCATTTATGAATTAAGTTACGCGATCAATTCAAATTGTGCAGCAAAACGGCAGAAACATAATAAAAAAAAAGGAAACAAATGGAAAATGTAATAACCAAATCATGAGCAAGAAAACCGGCTCTCAAACACTTGGAAAAACAATAAAGTTCAAAGTCATTTTCCCCGGCAACGACAAGGAATTAGTCGACCTGGCACGCGCCACCATCGCAGTGCAGCTCCATGGTGATCTGGCCACGATCATCCGCTGCGGCGTGGTGGTGGCCTTCACCAGGTGCTTGGAAAACCTGCACTCCTTCAGTCGAGTGGAGTGCAGTGGAGTGGAGTGCAGTGGAGTGGATGGCCAAAGTGGTTGGACCGCTTTTGGGTAAGCGTGCTGGACAAAAGCTGATGACTGTGAGTCCATTTCTGTGGCCCAAAGCATTTCTATTTGCCATTGTGTTTTCGTGTTGTGCGGACTTGCCTTCACCTTTTTACCAAAAAGGTTAGTTTTAATTGTTTCAACAGTGGTTTTCTTTTCTTTCTGGCTCTCTCTCTCTTTTTTTGGGCCATTGTTCGGCTGGGTTTGAGGTTTTTCTGGGCTCAGCAATGGGGCGTGGCGGGCGGAAAAGTGAACGCCTTTTAAGTGCACCTGCAGACATGATGCTGCTGATTATATTTTTCTTGCCAAGCGTAACAGCTCGTTAGTATTTTCAAGTGATTTTCATTTATTTTCCCTGCCTTTTGCTGCAGACCAGCCGATGGAGGAAAGGCCAGGGCAAAAAAAGAGAAAAAGGAAGTGTACTGATTTGAAAGGAAACAAACATTTCGCAGCTGCCCAAAAGAGTCTGGGCTCTTATCGTTGCTCCTCGGCTGCCATGGCAGTCACCTTTCTGGGTATTTTTTTAAGCGAAATTCACGCTTACTTCATTTCAATTACAATTACATGATTCCATTTCTCTCGCTGGCTGCTCGCAAATGCAAAAGTGATGTAACTTACTAGAGGCCAGCGCGATTACCTGGCTGTTACCTTCTCATTCCCAAACTTCAAGCTTCCAAACTTCCAAACTCCCAAACCCAGCAATGTAAATCCACCAATGGAAACCAATCAATAGCTTTGAGCTGGCACAAATGTATAAACAACATGAAATCGCTTTTTAAATACTATATTTTCGCTTTCCATTTATATTCGTTTTTTCTTTGTTCCTTTTCTGTTTTGGTGGCGTGGCTCAAACAAATGACACAGACGGGCACAGATGCAGATCCATATTCAGATACATACCGATAGATTCAGATACATATGCAGTGTGCAGTGTGCAGTATGTAGTACGTAGTGCGGGATGCAAATGCCAGCACTGAGCGGGCTATAAAATAAATAAAACTGTTTCGCATTTTTGTGCTGTGCTGAGTCGAGTTTTTAAAACTCTTTCAAATGTTGTGTAATATTTTGCCAGCCCGTATATTTATTTTCGTTGCATTGGTCGAAAGGCAAAGGAGAGAAATAAAGCGACAGCACAGGCGAAATATGCATTTGAAATACCAGTTTTTGGGGGTGCAAATGCGGATACGCCTGTCGTTCGAATATCCTTGTGCAACGTGCTCATATTTGCATTGTATTTATGCACAGTTTTATTGTTGTTTATTGAAACTGTGGGGCTGCCAACAAAGGCTATTGGAATTTTGGTGCCTAAATAGAAGTGCCAACAAAACTAAGCACACTCTTACATTTTGTCAACTGGTCCATTTTCAACACCACAAACCTGGTTTTGTCAGCCGGAAAATAATAGTTGGACTTTTGGGTTACCCCGAAATGGTTGTCTTCGTACGAAAACGAAAGAATTTCACAGTCTGCACTCAATTTGTGGGCTGACTGCAATATTTGCACCCTTTACCACATTCGTTCTTGTATTTTTAAATAAATGCATGAACAAGATTTTCAATCATTTGCAGTTTATTAGCAATAGTTATTAGTGCCCTTTTGGCTGCAGTTTCAGAAGACCCGATTAAAAATGCGCATAGCTTTTTCTTGGACTCCTGAAAACCAGTTTTCATGCCTCGTTCCTCTTGACCCATCGTAGATTCCTGGCCCTAAAAAATCGACGTTTGCGTGCCGAGATGTTTGGCATTGGATGTGCAGGAGTACACCCCGGCGTATACTTAATTGCGAGCGTGTTTATTATCTGGCTGTGCTGAACGTCATGGTCGTAAATTAAAATGACACGCTTTGCATATCCTGCCACGCCCCGCCCCTCCGGCCGCCCCTTCCGCACACACACGCTCACACACACACACGGCAGCAATAAAAATTTTAATTATTCAATTAAATTACACTCGAAGGCGTTGCTCACAGCTCCTCAGTTCCGCAGTCCAGAGTCCAGTGTGCGGAGTTCAGAGTTCACAGTTCAGAGTTTGGCGAAATGCGAAATGAATGACGGCCCATAAAATTGACACCGCCACACTTGCACGAACAACGAAACAGAAGTAGGCTGGAGTGGAGGCACAAGGACAATGCATTGGCACGGCGAAATCATATAAAAATCATGTTTATTTAATTTGCATTACAAAGGGCCGCCGCTCGTTAAATTCACTCCACGGCCGACCGGCCACGCCCACGTTTTAAAAAACAATAAACCCTATATATGTACGTGGGCGGGAGCAGCACGTAAAATGATTAGCAAATATGCCACCGAAATACTTGCAGATACGGCCGCCCGGCGGGGCAGGGTGGGGGGTGGGGTTTGGCTATAAACTGGCAGGACATTAAAGGTGGGGCGTCGTCCTTAAAGGAAGGTGCCGGTTTCCAAGAGGTCAAGGGGCAGCGCTTGGAGCTCTTGGGCACGCAATACCCTCGGCGGACGGGAGCATTGAGGCAAGGCACGCATATTTAATTAGCTTCATGCACTGCCGTTTTGTGGCCAAATGGGTGGTTCACTGGCTCAGTGGGTGGGTGGCTTGGTGGGTGGCTTGGTGGGTGGCTGGTGGGTGGCGCCAAAGACGTTGGCCATTCGAGTGGGCGGACCTCGGCAAGTTAGTGACCGCACAGTGAAGATTCTCCCGGGGGAATCGCCTGCGCCAGATTTGATTAGGTATTGAAATGATAATGGATTACAGGCAGCACGATTGCCTGGCTTTATACATATTATGCAAGTACAGCGCTTGCGAAAGAGATTTGCTTTCAACAGGAAAGTAATCTTAAAGGCTTCTTAAAGGCGATTTGCCGACACTGGCATATTAATGCCACTTTTTTGTATGTTTTAGCAAGCTAACAAGCTTAGGAGTTAAAGTAATAATAATACCTTACGATATTAAGTTCAATATTCGAATTGTTGAAAGCACTGAAATAGCATGGAAATGCAAATCCTTTAATTCCATTTTTGTGCAACTTAGGCAATCTAAGCGGCTCAATTTACGGTGATCATTACTGCATTAATTAATTTAATTCGTATTAGCTTAGTTTCCTGTGAGAAATAGTTCGAAGCTGGCTTAAAATTGCAGTTAACAAGTTGCTTGTAATTAAATCTCTTCCTTCAAACTCTGCCTGCCAGAATGACACAAACTGCATTCAATTATATCCCAAATTGCGTATTATTTCCAATATAATGAGAGTGGGTTTCCCATCTTTGGCAGGGCGAATCCACCATAGCACTCCATTTGCACTTCGTGCGAGGGAATTTGAGCTGAGTGGCCGGCTTGGCACATTTTATATGCGTGTCCATGTCGTTCCTCTGATGATTTTTGCCCTGTTCAGTGAGTTTCTGGCTGTTGTTGCTCTTGTACTTCCACTTCCATGTATTTGCACTGCTAGTTGTACTTGTAGTTGTAGTTGTAGTTGTAGTTGTAGTTGTACTTGTAGTTGTACTCGCTGTGTGATTAATTCGCGCAAAGAGTTGTGCGCTTCCGTTTCCGGCGGTGTTGTTGTTGGCAGCAGCGCTCGAGCTTTTGTGTTTCACATTTCACAGGAGGCTGATTTGTGCTTAGCTGTGGGTGAGTCGGTGGGCGGTGAGCGGTGGGCGGTGAGCGGTGGGCGGTGAGCGGTGGGCGGTGGGCCACAATATTAATTGTTTTGTGCCCAACGAGGCTTAAAAACACATGCTCATGTAAGCCACGTCCGCTGCAGTGGCCTCCTCATCCCTCCCCATATACCTACACACATATATTGTGCCCCCCGTTGGCCTTTTCATGTTCACGTTTTGAAAAATCTGGGAAACGCACCGGGATTTCTGGCGGGGATCTGGAGTGCTGTGGAGTGGAGTGATGTGGTGTGGTGTGGTGTGCCCAACATTGGACGCTTCAGCTTGGCCCCAAACATTTAAGATAAGAGCGCCACAATGGGTTCGTTTGTATGCCATTAATATGAAAATCAGACACACTTATCTTAATTAGTTAGTCGCTCATAAAAGGGCCAACTGAAAAGTCAACCAAGCAGCTCATGGGACATACTTACTGGGTTTCCACTGGCCAGCTGGAGGTAAATAGCTCAACTGAAAATAACGCACACGCAATGGGGTTCATAGCATTACTTTTTTCACATTCCCACTTTTTTTCATTTTTTTCATTTGTTTTTTTTAATATTACACAATATTTCCAGGGGGTGTGTTCAGCTTTGTGTGGCTTCTAATGTGCCAGCATATACAAATTATGGTGCTTAACATGTAATACTTAATTTTGTAGAACAAGCGGCGCATTTAGTTTTTGGTCCCGTTCCCCAGCTCTGTTCCCCTCTCCCTTTTCCCTTCTTGTTTAGGGACCTTTAAAGGCGCACTTACCGCCGGCTAATTCGCGTTGAGTATGCGTCATGTGGTGCGCG